TCTCCAGACTTTTATCTTAGGTGCAACTGTGTTTCAAAGCCCCACACTTCAGACGCCCCCATGGTTTGGACCAGCAGTGATCTTCCGGGGGAGTGTCTCACCATGCTGTAGCCAGGGCTGGCTTCTCCCAGAAAATAGTGACACCACTGTGTAGTGGCAGTAGCTCATAGTTTATGGTAAATTGCAACACACAATCACCGCCATGGTTTGCTGACCTCAGCTGGCATCTTTCTTCCTATAAGTGTAAAGATTGTGCTTCATGGGGCCAATTGGGTCTTTTTCCTACAGAGGGTTATAGCACCTCCACCAAATGCACTCCAAGCAGGGAAACCACTTTTCCCTGTGTGACCAAGAGCTCTTAAGACCATACTGCCTGTTTCCAGGGCTCCTACCTGCTTCCTCACCAGAGCACCACCAGGAGCTGACCTCTGAAACTTTAGTATCTGCTCCATTATTTATAAGAACTGGTGGTATTTAAACATTTTATCCCTCCCTTCAATTTTTGGGGGGAATAGTTTTCTTGTGCAGTCCCCTATGTGTATTTTCTCTAACTGCTTTCAAGGGGAGTGCTTTAATGCACCGATCTGATGTGCTATTCTCCTCCCCCACCTCCATCTTTCTCCTCTTCACGAAAATGGCTCCCTTCCCTCTGTGCCACTGCGGCTCTTCTCTCCCCAAACTCACCTCTTCTCACCATGTACCTGTTGTGTTCTCTCCAGAAAATTATGCAGTTTGCTCTGTTAATCCTCAGATCAATTTCCTAGGTTTTCAAAACGATTTGATGTTGATCTAGCTGTGTTCAACAGATGAGAGAAGGCCAGGAGATCCTTACTGTTGCACCATTTTAATTCCTCTCCAGGAACTTATTAAGTCTTGCTGCTTTTAAGATTTTTCTTTATCACTATAATTTGCAAATTTAATTACAATATGTCTTGGTGTTGGCCTGCTTTTGTTGATTTTAATACGAGTTCTCTGAGTCTCAGGGATTTGGATTTTCTCTTGTTCCTCAAATAAGGGAAGTTTCCAGCTATTATTTTCTTAAATAAATTTTCCACCCCCTTTATCTTTTTTTGTTTCCTTTTGAGACTCCTATAATACAAATGTTATTGTGTTTGATGGAGTCACTGAGTTCACTAAATCTATTCTTGTGTTCCATAATCATTTCTCTCTTTTTTGCAGCTGTATTATTTTTCATTATGTTCAATTTATATATTGATTAGCACTTATCTGTTCCTCTGCTTCTTCCATTCTTGTGGTCATTATACTTAGTCAGTTTTGAATCTCAGTTATTGCATCTTCCTTTTTTGTTTTTTAATTCTTTATATCTGTGGTAAGGGTCTCCCTGATGTCTCATATGTTTTTCTCAAGGCCAGTGAGTATTTAAAGCATTGTTGCTTTAAATTCATCATCAGGTATATTTCTTATATCTGTTTAGATTACATCACTGGTTGTGACCTTCTCTTGTTCTATTTTATGGGATGAATTCCTCTGTCTTGGCATTTTACCTAAGTCTCTGTCTTCTTCTCTGTGTTAGAAAAGACCTTTAAGTCCTGGTTATGAATGTGATGGCTTTATAAATAAGAGGTCATATACTGTTCAGGGCCTGGCACTTCAGGGAGTGTTTCTGATAAGTGATGCATGTACTCCGCTGCTATCATTTGGTTTCTCTATCCTTCAGGCCAGTCAGCTGCAGAGGCTCTCCTTGGCTGCAGTGGGAACTGTTTGGACCATGAACAGAGTGTGGTGAGTTTTCACTAGGTGTGCGCTGGTCTGCATGTTAAATAAGGCCCGACACTACTTCCACTAGAACTGAACACGAGCAGAACTCTAGTCAGGAAACGTAATGTGTACAGAAGTTTATGCTAGTCTTCTTTTTTTTTTAATTTATTTCTAGGAGAGAGAGAGAGACAGCGTGAGTAGGGGAGGGTCAGAGAGAGAGGGAGTCACAGACTGAAACAGGCTCCAGGCTCTGAGCTGGCAGTCTGCACAGAGCCCGACGCGGGGCTCGAACCCACGAACCGCGAGATCATGAACTCAGCGAAAGTCGGACGCTTAACCGACTAAGCCACCCAGGCGCCCCTATGCTAGTCTTCTGAAGAAGTAGCACACCATGTTGACACTGAGGCAAATTTTATCTAGAAGTACAGTCTGGAAATCACATGGGTGGGTGACCTAGTGTAAGCAGGTTAGCAGTTAGTTTTGGTGCTGTGGTATTTACAGAAGGTGGTACTATGTTTATGCTAAGGGTCAGGGAAGGGAAATGGCACCAGGCCGCTCCTATGTACCTAGAAAAATGGTCTCTATTCTTGCAGATCTCAGGGAGGCATTCTAAGAAGAGTGAATAATCTCCAACTCATGTGTCTCAGGATATTTTCAGTTACTGGTTTCACGTTGTCTGACTGTGGGTTGTTTGCCTGCCTTCTCTCCAGAAACAGTACAGTGCCTTCCATATTCAACTTCAGCCATGCCTGCTGACTTTGAAAACTCCAGGCTTTAGAGATATGGCATGGGCAGGGACTTGTATTGATCTTCTGGGGAAGGGAATCACTGCACTTGAACAGAAGAAATATTGACCAAGTCTCATAAAGGCACAAGGGTGTAGGACTTGAAAGAAGCACACTAGGCAGCCAGTGTCAGAGCCAAGCTGCCCTTGGCAGGTATCTGCATTTTTGCTTATGGGTAGGAAAGAGAAATGTGCCACCTAGATTCTTTGTCCCTGGAGAGCCCTCTCTGTAGACCCTACCTCTCATGGCAATGCTCCGAGAAAGCAAATAATCTTATTGTGTGTCCCAGGAGATCTTGGGATCCTGCTGAATACCCTGGGATTGTTTGCAATCATTCTCGGACAATAGGGCAGAGTCACCAAAGGTCTATCACAAACAGGCCTGCAAACTTTAAGACTCCAGTCTTCAAACCCGACTCGGTTACAAAACCACACAAAATCAGCTGCTTTCATTTTACTAGCCAATGGCTTCCATGATGTGTTTCTACATGTATTCCCATGTGTGCACTATTCTCTCTTGACTTTCTCTATAACCAGTACTCCTTCCCCTTGACAGCAACAGTTATGTACTTCTCCCACAAATGATGACTCCATATAGTCTACTTTTCTCAAACTGGCTTCTTCACAATTTCTAGTGTGGAGGTAAATCTGTCAGTTCTCTGACCAATTTTTGGGGTGTGTAGAATTACTTGATACATCTAAAAGTATTTAAAAAGACAAGCATGTGTGCTCCCAAAACACAGCTTCTGCATTACAGAGAAAATGATAAGCACTCCTAAAGGACTATATTTATGTTTTTAGAATTTTGTCTAAAGTTGTCTAGGTAAGAAGTCCCACACTTGAACCATGCTTCTACATTCTTCTTAAACAACTTCATTAAAGATGTGTGTTACCCTGAAGCTAGTTTCTCCATGTACCCCAGACAGTCTAGGGACATCCAAATAAAAACCAAAAGAAAAAAATAGGCCAAATTTAAGAGCCTGAGCACATAGCATACCTCCAAATAACTCAGTGGTTTGGGCTTCCAGTTGGGATCTTTCTCACACCAGCATAATTGTCCCATGGGCCAGCGAGGAAAATAGTCATCCATTATAATTTACATATTTTCCAGATGTCAAGATGACCTATCACTTTACTGACTGCACAGGACTGATGTTCACAGACAAGACAGACTTCTGTGGCCATGATGGGAGCCAGATAAACACACAGGCTGGCATTGTCATTTGTGCCAGGTGGATATTCATCTCGGAAGAGGGTCTGGACAGACAAGGGGTAAAACAGCTGTGACAAGGGTCTTCCCCATTGCTCCTGCCTTCTGGGCAATGAGTGCAAGCCCTGAAGTGATGGTGCCATGACTTCATCCATGACGCAAGCAAGACATGATGGATGGAAGGAAGCGTCCAGAGCAGAGGCAAGACTCTCAGAAAAAATGTGTCCACCAGACATAATTGAACTCTGAGACCCAAAAGGAGATGAGCATGGCCAAGTCATCAAAAAGAGGTAGGCCTACCATAGAAGTGCCCAAGTGTGTGGGACACCACTTGGAGATCATGTGATGGGCAGAATCATGGGCCATGGATGGTGGAGCCTGATCTTGGCTTAAGGAAGAATGAGCAGAGATAGAAGCAAGGGATGGGCCAAAGGCTGTTGAAGACATGTGCAGCCAAGACCGTTGAGTAGTGTAATGGAATGCCTTCTCAACAGGAAGTGTACATGGAGCTCTATGTGAGATGCAAAATGGCCCCCTGACAACTAAAGCCTTGCTGCAATCAGCTGCCAGAGGATATTCTGAAATATTGCAAGGAAGATCAGGGGCCTGGCATACATTGAATGAGCAACAAACTTGTGGTAATGGGGTCCAAAACTGAATGCGATGGGACATGAATCCATTCTTCTTGCCAACAAGACACCAAACATGGTGGGAAGACTTCAAGGCAACAGGCAAGGCTATCAGCGTGTATGTGTAACCAGGACACCAAGGCAAACAGGGTCCCAAGAGAGTTGAGTAAGGCCCTCATGGGCTTTCCCATACCAGTACTCAAGTCAGCCACAGAGATCCTCATGTTATGAGAACATTTCGTAATGATCCCTGAAAGGCAATATTCTGAGGAAATGATGGAGCCCAAGTCCAACATTATAGGTGAAGTACTAAAAGGTGGAACACCCTACACTAAACATTGTCTCTAGCGCCTCTGTATACCACCCAGTTATCCACCTACATAACGTGATGGATGGACGAACTTACCCAGGCCGGCATAATGAATTGATAAAAGACACAAGAAAACTAAAAAAGTTGAGCAAAAGTTCCGATTAAGTTGTTGCCGGATGTGAACGCACTGGACACACAATACCACAGGGTTGGATCATGTCTTGAGCCCCTGAGGGCCACAAACCAGGCAAAGAGGCACTGGAGAGTTGGAAAGGAAGAATCCTGAGAGCCCAGCACAATGCATGGGCAACAGGGTTTCCCAAATGGGTATGCCATGAAGTGGACTTACAGTACATCATAATCCTATCGATAATTGATTTTTAGGTCAGCTTCTATCTTTGAGACCATATGAGTTGTCATCATGGACTGGAGCCAGGCCATCACCAGGTGCCCGGGCACCCATAAAGAACAACCTGCTTACCACGGGTGGTCTGTGGAGCTCAGGATGGTCAGTTGCACTCCTGGCTCGGGGCATGTGCCCAAAGCTGGGCCAAATTACCGTTGGTGTGCATGGGGAGGACCTCTGGCTGGAAAGGGCTCTGTACAGAGAGACAGGAGAGCTACCATGAAGAAGCACTATCCTGCTGGGCCTGAACTGGTGGCCTCGGGCTCCAGCCATGAGAGTGTGTGGCCGTGATCCTCTCATGTTGCCAGCAGGACTCCAGCCAAGGCAGCAACGCTCCGGACCAGCACACCGGAAAGCGAGTGGATGGCTGCACGAGTGATAAGGGCAGGCGGCGTCACCACAGGCTACTGAGATAGGCAGCAGACGCGACCACTGGAGCAGGCATCAGGCCCAAGGCACTGGTACGCCCTCCGCAGGACTACAGCGAACCGGGACTGAGCAACCAGCACGCAGCATGGTGTGGAATGGCAGGAGGTCCAGGCCCAGAGCCGTGCCACCAAGGGGCCTATATGGCGTCCCAGACGGTGAGGATATGAGAGTCCAGGACCCATGAGCCTTACAGTAGAGAAGAGTGGATCTCCGGACGAGATAACGAATGATGAGCACCGTCCAGGAAACAGCATGTGGGGCCCAACGAAAAGGCAACGGGGTGCCCAGAGGCCTGGCATGCATCCCTCGGGGACGAGCCACGTCTCCAAAGAGCCCTGCTCCACGTCCAAGCTGCGGTGGCCTTGGTCCTTCCCGTCTTGACACAGAGCGTTGGCTCATGGAGACGGGCTCGCCTGGCTCCCAAGTGACCTTGACCTCCCCGGACAGAGGCAGCTGAGGCCAATCACTGTGGCCTGCCCTGGAGCCACAGGCACCACCCTAGGGGCGGGGATCGACAAAGGCCCGTCCCGATGGGGGAAAGCCCCGTGGTCCTGTGAGGCCACGCATCCGCCAGGAACGGGCTCATCGGGAAGAGCACCCCAGAGGATCCCCGGCAAGCAGTCAGCAGTGCTCAGGGCCCGAGTGCCACGCTATGCCAAAGGGAGGAGTCACTGCCAGCAAAGGTTCCTCAATTGCGCACTCCGGTCCCAGCGTCTTTACGCTCCCCCGCCTCCCCCACCCCACCGCACCATTCTGGGCAGTTTCAGCGGGCTCGTCTCCCCGCCGGGGTCTACAGAGGCTCCCATGCCCACTGCGGCCCCTGGCGTGCCTCCCAACACAGGCCTCAGCGATCCTGACGTGCAGGTCAGTGCCCACACTCTTGGGGCAAGCGGCGCATGGGCCCTCAAACCGAGACACCCATCAAGGCCCCGCTACGCCAAGGGGTCGAGGCACGGCCAGCAAAGGTTCCTCGTTTGCGCCCCAGGTCCCGGCGTCTTTACGCCCCCACCCACATCCAGCACTCCACCGTGCCAATCAGGACAGTTTCAGCAGAAGCATCTCCCCACCGGAGGTAGGTAGTCTCCCATGAACACTGCGGTCCCTGACGTGATTCACAATACCGGACTAAGCGATCCTGAGGTGTAGGTCAGCGCCCACCCTCTCGGGGCATGCGGCGCATGTCCCTCAAGACCGAGGGACCCAACGAGGGCCCGGAGCTTCTGCACAGGATCACGGACGACCCCTGCTGTCCACATGGCCCTCTGCACGCTACAGGCGTTGGCATACTCGCCA